GGCGTCAGAGCAGCATGGCGATCGGAAGACTACCTTCGAGGACGATGTCAAAGATGCGATCTTCAAAGCACACGACGACGTCGAGCTGCGCGAGGTCGGTCGTCGAGTTGTCCTGCCACTTTTGCGGCGCCTTCTTGGTCAAAATGTCGCGTTCGAGCATGGCCAGCACGCCATTGTGGCGAAAGCTACGTAGTCTTCGTGAGCCTCATTAGCAAGCGTCGAGATAGCGTACAGCGCTTCGTTCTCGGCCTTGAGCTCGCGGTACATGACCTCGTACGGCGTGAAGAACTCGTAGATGTGCGGCTCGTAGCGGCTGCGGCCCGGGAAGCGCACCTTGTTGCCGGCGCCGAAGGAGCACACGCGCAGGCCCGCAGCGTGCAGGTGGTCATGGGCCTCCGTGCTGCGGTTGACGTTGTTGGCGCAGATCATCGCAAACATCGGCGTCGTCATGCTGCCCGCTTGCGTGGCTTGCCGGCGCTTGGATTCGTTATCCGGTGTTATCCGGATACACGCCACGAGTAATGGATCTTCCCGCCACCGACATGGAAATATTGTACTCCGTTGGCACCTCGGTCAGTCGACAGTCGAGTAGAGTGAGTACTCGCTCCTTGTGCTGCGACGCTGAAGGCCGACTTGGTCGCTGACAGGACACGCTTGCATTCAAGCACCAGGTAGTGCTACCTACCTGCTTGAACACCCTTGCCATCGATCGATTGGCGGTCTTCAACAACCTCTCGCCGACGGGTACCTAGGCTGGAGCTCGCCAACGCCAACAGACTCGTAGAAAAGTCAGCACTGGATGTGGCAACGAACCGTCGCTGGTTGACCTTTTCTACCCACTTCGTTTCAGGCACCGCAGATAGGTCGTCTATTCTTGCTATTTCGCGCGCATTCTAACGTTAGCATTACATGCCGTCGCGGGGCCACGCCGATGCGACGACCGCGGAAACATATCCTTTTGATCCATGATGTATTACGATGCCAGCTTGGATTCGCTGCTTCGGATGTTGGCCTTGACGAGTCGCACGGCGTCGCTCAAGGCGCAGCTCCACACGCGCATCCAGCACGCGACGTCGCGGAACGAGGCGGCGGCCCATGCGATCGCCGCGATGCAAATCGAGCTCAAGATGAAAGCCATGCGCATCAAGCACGCCGAGCGCCAGGTGGCCAAAATGCACGCGGTGCACACGCTGCAGATGAAGCGCCTCATCAAGAAGGACCTCGTGCACCTCACTCGCACCGACAGCATTCGCAGCGTCCGTCGTCGTCTCTTCTTCTCGTTCGCATCTCGAGGCGCGCGTGTAGAAATTGGATGCGAGTCAGTCGATCGTAAACAAGCTACAGGCGGAGAACGACGCCTTGGACGAGAAGATATCGCTAGTTGATGACGCGATTGGTGCGCTGCTGAAGCAGTACGAGGCCGCCATCGAGGTACGAGGTGGTGTATACGACAACATGTACACAGCTGTGTGTCTAGTCGCACGCGACAAGTGTCCAGCGGCTCTTCGACGAACAATTGTCGATGCGCAAAGTGGATTTTGAAGTCGAGACCGTACGACAGTAGCTTCCACGCCACGGTTGTGCCAGTATCAAGTACTCCCTCGAGTCCTTAGGTTGAAGACGTGCACGCGATTATGGAGGACTTTCAGTACATCCTGAGTCAAGTACGTACAGTGTCGCTCAGCGCGTGTCTGATTGCGTGCAGCACACACCCGAGCGACGGTTTGTGCTCAAGTCCAAGCACCTGACGCTGAGCACGCTACGGCCCACCCACCTCACCGCGATGGTATGTCCGCAAAGATATCAAAAGACGTGGCTGCATCTAGCCTAGAGCGAGATCCTCGTCGCCTACTTGCCCATCAAGCTGCTACCGGTGCGACGCGCGAGAAATGCACGTCGACTGGTGACGATCTGCGATAGGTCAGTGTGACGCTGCACAAGCGGGTGTACAGCAAGGTCGTGCGCCGAGCCACCATGCCGGTTCTGCCAGTTGCCGCACTCACGCCCCTCGAGCAGCTCGAGTACGACGCCCTCGGAGCGTCAAGCGACTCGTCGTACGTGGACCCTAACCTCCATCTCCGTCGCGATGCCATCTCTAGATCCGACGGGGCGGGCAAAAGCGACGACGAGGATGCGAACGCGACGACCGGGGACCTTGCGTGCGTGGCGCCGCTGTTGGAACATGCTACACACATTGACCTCCTTGTGGGTAGCGTCATGCCCAAGGAGTCCTGCGGCTCGGCGCTGGGACTAAAGCTAGGAAGGGCACCGCGTATTTGGGCGCCGTCTGGCAAAAAGACGTCCCTGCCGTCCCTGCGCCTCAAGCCGCTTGCATGGTAACACGATTGAGCCTTTCCACTCACCGTTCGGAGAGTAGGAAGTACGTTGCGCTGCAAGCGAGTGTCAACCCACCCGAGTACATTCGTTCTTCAAACGTGTGTCAAAGATCTTCATGGATGTGTAGACACAACTTGCAACGCCGAGCGTCCCTCAGTCCGTCCGTCGCTAGCTCAACTACGCCGCGGTCCAACACATAAGTGGTCTTTTGAGTCGTCGCCTTGGTGTTGTGTCCATCGACTGAGGCGCATCGAGTGGCACAGAGCGTTGACGGAGCGAGTCTCGTTCACGATTCGGTCGCGTGTACTTTGCTTCGAGCCGCCTTGCACAACGACGTTCTTGCTCCCCTTGATCATACGATCGCACACTGGACCGGCGCTTGCCGTGTACAGAGTCGAAACATCTTTACTTTGGGGCTGATACTGGCGCTACCGACTTGCTGCCAGTGAATCCTGCAATGCACTTGGGCGCATTGATTCCGTCGCATCCGTGGGCTCTTCAAACCCCAGACCTACCCTGTCCCTAGCATGGAATCGCGTCGCTGGATCTCGCAGCGTCGGGCCCGGAGCTCGAGACTGGCCGTACGCAGCACGTGTGGATGGCGCCCAGCAAGGTGCTCATACCATCACGTCAAGAGAACACTTGCTGATTGCGGGCTTGTACGAAGTAATCTCAGTAGCCGAGTTCAACGACTTCTTAGCTGGTCCAGCTCAGATCGACGCCGCGGTGACCGAGGTACTAGGAGCGCGCGGATGGGGGAAAACGCGCAACAAGCAAAGATGAAAAGAGTCATTTGATCTCGGCTCGACGCGTGGAAGTTCATGCCAGCGATGAATGTCAGGCAGGATGACCAGGAGCGTTGTGTATAGCGGCCCGTCGCATTATGGACCCAACAAAGGTACACGACGTCGATAGCATCTCGAGATTCAACTCTCCCAGACCTAATGGCGGATAAGGTGCCGGTGTAACCGGTACATAACCGGCAAAGCCTGTTTATATCGCCATGTACGACTCGATGCACCCGGCGCGCTCCTCTCAGGCGCACTGTGCTTTAGGTCGTGTGATCGAAAGCGCCGCGCCAGCATCTCCGTCACAACACCCAAGCTCGGCACGCTACGCCAACCTCTATATCGTTTTTCTTGCGCACCATCGTGTGTATTTCCATTCCTTCGTTCCTCTTGTCTTGGCCTTTCTTGACCCGTGGTGACGGTACGGCCCAGAAGCCGCTTTCGCTGGCACAGCAACTCGAAGCCGCCGAGGCGCACACGCAACAGCTTCAAGCCGACGTGAGTATTAAGCGAGCGATGATCCAGAGCCTCGAAGGCATCGCCCAGTCGGACGCCAAGCTCGTGCGCGACAGCCTCGACCAAAGGCCCTCCATGGGTGCGGTCTTTTCCAAAACGGTGTTCCTTCATGAGCAAGTTATCAGTGACGGAGTCTATCTGGCTAGCGAGTCAGACCAACCACACTACAGGGCAAGAAGGAGCTCGTGACCAACAACGCGGCCTTGGTGCTCGCGATCGCCGACGTCGAAGCCAACCTTGCAACGCTTCAAGCAACGATTCAATCGGTGCGGCAATGGAAGAGAAATGGACGCGGCGTCACGCAAGGATATGCATATATTGTAGTTGCGGCACAAGCCGACCGCCCGGCTCGCCCAGCGCCGACTTTCAACGTCGGCCGAAGTGTTCGAGACAGTAACACACTTGCACTGTGCAGCTCTTTGTCAATGCGCTTTTGATATAGGACGTCGACGTCGGACGTCTCATCGAACAGTTTGAGCGGCTCCTTCGCCACGTACCACGCATCCGTGTCGAGCGTGTGGGATGAATGCGATGATGGAGTAGACACTGCCAAAGTCCGCGCTGCACTCGATCAAAGCCAAGCGCATCCTCATCGCGCTCGAAACGATCGACGCGACCCGTCTCAAATCCATTGTACATACGTCGAGGTAACGACCTCCGGTGCCATTCATCGTATTAGGAAATCACACTGGGCGACTACCTTCCGTTTCTATTGCCACTGGTAATACGCTGTGCGTGCAGCAAACGTCGCGTAATCTTCCATGAGTAGGCGCCGTCCACGAGCAAGAAGACGTCGTCGGCGCGGCACCCGGACGAGGACGAAGACGAGTCGTACTTCTCGCAGTACGAAGACAACACGGCCAAGATCCGACGGCATCTCGAAGCCGCCGTCGTGGCGACACCTGTGGCAACAGCCGACCAACCCTCGGAGACATCGCCACGGACAACGTGACGTCCATGACGGACCGCACCGACGCCAATATCTTCACATAGGTCGATTTCTGCGCCGTCAACGACCGCAAGCACTCTTGGCGCCGCGACAACGCCAACGTATTTCGTCCTGCGGTGAACGGAGGAGGTCCAAGGGTGCGGTGTAGAAAGCGACTCAGCGTTCGATTTGACGTGGCAATGCCAGCGCTCTCTAGCAACAGGTAGAAGAGACACCTCTGCCGAGCTAAAAGGAGTGTTGCAGTGACGTTGGCCACACCAAGTCGTCGTCGAGGTACATCAATACCACCATGCCTTGTCACCTACCGTATGAAAGCAGTGGTGTACCTAGCAGCGAGAAACCCAAAAGCCTCAAGTTGAATCCAGAGAGCTTGCCAAAGTTCGCGATCTTCCTCGGGCTGTACGCACTGCTAAGAAGCGACACGTGTAGGGACGGCTTTTTCACGAAAAGTCCCCGCGATGCCACAACCAAGCTGTCGACGAGGTGGCGAAGCGACCAACATGCTCGCTTCATGTATCTCTAGCGCGTCCATGTCGGCGCTCTCCACCGCAGAGAGCTCGTCCCCGCCTCGCCTCGCCACGAGGTAGAACAAAACGGATCGGAAAGGTTGTCCCACCGACTTGCGTGTAGCAGCGCGGTCGATGCCCTCGTCGTCAAATTCACGTCACGCTTGCGCCGGTATGTTACGTTCCCGCCAAAATAAAGTGTTGGATGTGTGGTAGACACCGCCACATGCCCGCTGCACGCCACCATTCGCTTCTCGTTGCCTCGTACGTCCGTTGATACAATGCTTGAAAAACCAGGCGCTGGATGGTAGAGCGGCGGTGACACTGCCCGTGGATGACGCGTGCGCTGCGTGCTTCTTGGTTTCGACCTCGACTGCAATATGTGTAGACCTGCACCCCAACTCGGCAAGCCAAGCAGCCATGTGCGAAGGTAGACGGGACGGGATTGCAATCGCCACGTCACCTTGTTGTGTGCGTAGTTGCAAGATCAAAGAATTTGCAGGGTACGTAGATCATGCGCACAAGACTGGATAGAGAAATCGTAGCAGCACCGAGACAGCGTCGTCACTACTGGACGCCCCCAAGCTCATGACGCCTGACCAGCTCTTGCCCATCAATGAAAAGTATTACTTCAAATTTGGTGTCATGTTGTACGTTTGGTTTTTGTAGGAGCACTCTCTTGCAGGACGAGTCGAAAGCCAAGTTCAGGTCGGCTAGCCTATGTGGATACCTCGAAAAACGACGCTATGGAATCTAGTCTGACGACCGCCGATGCACCGAGTGCAACAACAGAGAGCGACACCCCGGGGTACCAATCAATGCAACCACGGAACGCATGAGCATCGAGGCTTCAAGAACGAGTAGACCAAAGGAGTCGCCGCCACCGATGCGTCGCAGCCCGACGCCCAAGCTGGCGACGCTCATGCGCAGGCATGTGCTCGGTTGCCATCCGCGAATCTGACGACGCGTGTAGCGGCTCCAAGACCAAGGACCTCCTCGGCACCAAGATAATGTGGACGCTTTGATACCTGCAATCGACACGCTCACGACGAGCATGGTAGGGATGCCAAGGCCCCCGTGGCCGCGTCGCGCCTTCGCCGAGCCTCCGTCTCTTTGTATGTCGATCGACCTTGTTGATTCGTCACCAAACGGTTCTGCAGGGCTTCCAGCAGCAGTAGCACGAGTGGCAGTGCCAAGGCGCCGCGCGATGCGTCTTTGGGGTATGTACACCTCGAAGGACGACGCGGGGACCCACTTTGGGGGCGACTAGGGAGCAAGCGATTGCGAGGCGCACGGAAATGAGTCGCATGAACGACTTTGAGCGCATTGCGCTGGCCGACACGCGGCTGAAAACGGACGGTAGCTTTTCGTAGTCGACGACGACGACTATTTACTACACGGATGATGATAATGCAACCCTACCCACCGAACACATCGCCGTGTGCATGTGAGCAAGGGTATCTCCCCTTGATAAATTAGTACAAATATTAGCTGCAGGCGTCCGACATGGAGTTGGTGCACGAGCTGGCACCAATGGGGGTCACGGTGATGGGAGCTAGGTCACGTGATGCAAGCATTTCCGCACCCAACAAGTTGCCGCATCGAAATGTGTCGTCGACATATCAGACCAATCATCTGTACTACTAGTACCCATTATACTTCCGAGGCGCCATCATCATGAGCCTCTACCTTGTGGACATTATTGTGTGTTGGGAGCTGGCTAGTCCGAATCAGCCGTGCCACGTTCGACGACTCGCGTGGACGACGCTTGCTCCAACGATCGACCAAGTTACTACGCTGTCGAGCTACGACGACGAAGCAATTGTTGATGCTTATCCCGTAGGAGACTGGGCGAGGCGCTGAGGAAGCCGAAAGCTCCTGCGCTCGTCTTCGTGTTTGCGTTGAAGTCCCACGGTGCGTCGACTGGCGCGAGCACCCGTGTGGTATCCCTTGTATACAAACTCCAAGCTAATTCAAAAACAGGCTGCCGTCTGATTTGAGCGAGTTTGCCTTTTGCGTCTATTTCGCAGAAACCACCCGAAGCAGAACCAGCATGACGGTCCGGGCCGACTACGACGTGGTCGTGCGCGGCCAGCTCACGGCCGACATCGAGGACGACCTCGCGCAGGTCGAGATGCAGGCCGCGCAGATCAAGACGCAGACCGCGACCTTTGTGCCCCACAAGTCGCCGACGTCGCAGTACAAGCTCGTCGCGCTCCTCCAGACGAGCAACCTTATCCAGCGCCTTATCTCGGGCATCCTCCTCGGGTCCGCGGTCACGGTGTACCTCGTCCTTGGTCCGCGCTCGGCGCCCATCTACCTTTGCTCGTTCGTCGTCTCGATCTGCAACTACGAGTACGCGTGGCTCGCCGAGCGCATCACGCACCGCTTCACGACGTCGTACCTCGACGACTGCCTCGGCGACGTACACAGCGCGGGCATGTGCGCGATCCGCCCGTTTGACTGGCGTCCGCCGTGCCGTCTCGCCGATCGCGT